TCGTCTACCCCCAGATTTGTGTATAGCATACCTGAACTTCAATTTTCCCGTCATATTCTTTTAATCGCTTAAAGTCTTTAGGGCTGGTCAACATTTTGTGGCGCGTTGTTCCATTAGAAGCAAGCTGGTAGCTGGTAATTAAACTGCAAGATGACAGCTTTTTCACTTCTTCCTCTTTGTTGGAAGCGGCCCTCTCCACATCGTGGCACAAAATGTCATCGGAAGTGAAATTTTCAGGCTTGCATCTAGACTCGACTGGAAGAAAAATTACAATAAAATGAGGACATTCAACTGTTCTCGCTATTTACTAACATTTAGAGCGGCCTTACTTTAGTATCGAAAAGTAATTGGTTTAGCATTACTATGCTACCCGAATGGCTTAAAAAAAGTCTTTCCACTTTTGATCCAATCAATGGCTAAACCAAAACCAATAGAACAATTTCGATATATTAAAATTCAGCCTAAAACAATAGACCTCAATCAGAGGTTCTGGGGAATAACTACAGAGTTTGTGGGGTTTATTTCCCAGAGCCTCGTGCTGAGGTCTTTTGTTTTAGGCTGAATTATATATATCTAAATCTATATATATCGAAATCTGTAACTCTCTATGTATAGCTAGTACACCGTATCATCCACAAGTATTTATCACTAAATCTGTATGTATAATTAGTCTTTTTTTTGCGTGTGTTGTGTGTGTGTGTGTGCTCTTGCATGTCTTTTTCTTACTTCTTTTTTTTCTTATTTTACCCAAATAAATAATCACTTAAATCACTAAGGATGGCTGCTCAGTCTTATTAGCCCATTAAGGTCATTTCGGGCAGCCATTTACTTTTCAAATTTTTACTTATTTTTGTTCATCTAATTTCTAATTTCTAGCTCAGTACAAATAAATTTGTTGTTGCTGTTGGTCTATTGTGACTCGCTTGCAGCACGTTTTCCCGCGCTTGGCGCCAGCCACTAGTATTTACTATGAGTTTTGCTTGGTTCATTGGATTATTGCATCATTGCCTGTGTCCTTTGTGATTGACCAGAGTAATAACATTTTTAATTTTTTTTTCCAGAATGATACTTTTGGTTCAATTGAGTGTCGTAAAACAAAACCAGAGTGAAAACTTCGGTTTTGTCTTTCGACGCTCAATTGAAAACCGCTCTAACCATCTCTGTTTACGTCTCAAGCATGAATGACACAAACATGTGTGTCTTACCTACAGTACAGCCACTCACTACTAAATCACTCAAACACATTGAATCTTTGACTTGATCTGCTGTAAAACGCATGAAGCGAGCGACCACTGGTTCAGGAAAGAAGTAATGAGCTTGCCAGGCATCTTCAGAGTTGCTTTCAATGTTGCTTGTCTGCAGAAACAAACTTTATCTTAGTAATCTAGGACGGTCAGATCAACAACTTAAAAACGGGAACATGTTAATTATTACATTTAGAACGATGAGGACGAAATTATGAAAAAATAAAATAAACAAAAAGCGTTGGGCAGGAAAATTATCTTCTAACTGCTTAGTCTAAATTTACTTCGAAAATAAGTGTTGTCATTTCTCTGCATGACTGATTAACATGAGGCGCCATGGCTGCTGACCAGAATTAATGCATTCTAACACGCTCGAAAGTCGTTTCTCCAAAAGTAATGAGCGGATGAAGGCGAAAAAATGTCTTTGGGAAACGTTTTCAAAGCGACCTTTCCATTTCTATCCACCCATTCAAACATGAGTTAATGTAAATATAAAAATACCTTCATTTTAACATCACCCATGTATTCCTCTAAGGACGAATTGTCGTTAGAACTGATGTAGAGTTTGTGTGGCCTGAGCGAGTGAGTTATGAAACCATAACTTGTGATAACACTGCACGGGGACAATTCTTCAACAGAATGATCCTTATATTTGGAACCATGTTTGTCCTCGCTATAACATGGCACATCTACTCAGAAAGAAAAAGAAAAGTTGTTTGTTTCCACAATATTTGCTTGAGATGCTATTTAAAAGTTGAAAATTAAAGAAAACCGAACGTTTTTGACTCACTAACTTTTTAGTTTTGTAAATAGCGTCTTAAAATTTATTTCTCTAAGAGCGACCGTCTTGTTGAATACTCTCTTGTCATAGTTTTCCATCTAGTAAGTATTAAAATAGCATAGAATATACCATCAAATCAGATTTGAAACCCGTCATCCGTCTAGGCAGAACGCTGATCTCTCAACCTACGCAGTTATCTAAAACTAATCTAGATGGACCAGAAATAATTGTGAAATAAACAAAAAACAACAATAATGGTGTTTATAGCAAATACCAAACACACAAGCAGGTAGCAGATACATGTATATAAAGAGCAAGTAATTTAAAAGAAATACTCATTCTTTATATTCTATTTGTTTTTGTTTTTTTCTATCCTATTTATAGTCTCTGTAGCTACTCAGAATTTAATTCAAATATATATTTTGTTTTTGAATTTTGTAAGTCGTCAGTTTGATTGGCGCAAATTTGTGGAGACCAAATGAGAATATACTTACCAATCTTCCAACTTGTAGAGTAATTCTCTTTCTGGTGTTCGTTAAAATTCAGTTTTCGAACAGTACAGAATCCTGAGATACAACGAATAAAAGTGATTTACTAAACTGAGAGGAGAGCAAATTTTCCATGAACGCGCCTGGGAAGCTACACGTTATTTTGCACCTTCCCGCAATACCTTGTTGAGCCTTCAAGGTTAGTACTAAGGGATGCTATCAAAGCCCTTCTGCTATATGTTTGGTCAATGCAGTGTTAAAAGAATAATCGGGTATCTTCACTCTTACGCAAAATGATTCTAGAATTTGTACCACGATGAAGATACCACGTGAACAGTTGAAAGGGGGGCGCGGGTCGGAAATTGTAACTCATTTAAAGCTATTGTGCGAAGACACGACCAGACTTTGGACAACACAACACAACCATGTACAAGTGTAACTATTTTGTAACAATCCTTTTATAAACTCAGTGCACTTATCTGTTTTTTTTTTTGTTTTGTTTTTAATAAACTAGATCATTGTAGTTAGGTTACTATAACTGAAAATATGTCTTGGACTTTTCTGACTTTTTGAGATCATGACGATGGTGGTGTCCCTCTAACATCGCTTAACCTGCTTTCAAGAGTTAGATTTCACCTTTAACCCTTGCACACACAAAAAGCTTGGGCTGCCTGTGTTTCATCCAAGGTGATAAACACAACAAAACCAACTGCCCGAAGTCTAAGGTTGTGAGGCCAAATTTCCTCCGCCAATAAGACACCTTTCCTCCACCCCAACCCCTCTCAAGACCTTGATACATGTACCCCTTAACAATATTCTTCGTCTCACCTGTATTCTCAGTGGGCTCCTCGACCTCTTCCGTGTTGTTTTTAGCATCTATTGTAGGGAATTCTCCTTCTTGGTCGACTTCTCGGCCTTTTGAACAAATTGTAAATGCAAGAAAAGACAAAAACACGTGAGAAACCGGCGATATATTACGAGCGTAAAAAGTGATGAGCCAAGTCAACGGTAAACAGGGAAGAGACAAAAGAGTCAAAGACAACAGATTCAAGAGACAAAAGAGCAAGATTCAGAGAAAAAAAAAGGATCTTCAATTTCTGCTTGCAAACCACGCAAAAGGTAACAACAACCAAAAAATGTATGGCTGAAAAGGCTTTCACTGCAGTTAACTGTCAAAGAGTTTAGTTTAAGTCACTTTCTAGAGAATTATAATTATATTGCCCAGAGTAGAACTACATGAGAGTCCTACTCAGAAGCTTTAATGTGAATAGTATAAACAGCACCACCTGAAAGTACTGCTCTGTGCCTTTCATTTGAATGGTCATACATGAGGATTTTATTCACGGACTTGAAAGTTAGAACCACCTTGTACAGCATAATAAACAGTACCACAAGAAAGTACCGCTCAATAGCTTTCCTTTGATTATGCCGTCACACCCTACGGTTTTATTCATGAACGTAAAAGTTAGAACCACCTTGTACAGCATAATAAGCAAGCCTACTTGAAAATACTGCCCTATACCTTTCATTTGAATAGTCACACACTAGGGTTTTATTCACAGATTGAAAAGTTAGAACCGTGTTGTACAGCATAATAAGCAAGCCCACTTGAAAATACTGCCCTATAGCTTTCTTTTGAATGGTCACACACTAGGATTTTATTCACAGATTGAAAAGTTAGGGTCACCTTGTACGGCATATTAAACAAAAAAAACATGAAAGTACTGCGTATTGGTATTCATTTGAGTGCTCACATTCTATAGCTTCACCCATGCATGCATGACTGATGTTGAAATCTGGGATCTTATTAAACTTGCATGAGTATTTGCTCTGAGAGGTCTGAGAGCGAAACGCCCGGCAATATTGAGTTATCAAAATTGAACTGTTAACTGCATAAAAACAATTTAGACAAAGGTCAGACTATCACAAATCGTTCACCTTGGTCTTGCTGTACATGAAATGTCACAGTCGCTTTACAGCCTTTTTTCTCCGTCTCAACAACGTAGATTCCAAAGTGCCTCCAGTCTACCGAACTAATCACAAGAATTTCTGATATTCTGTCCTTTGCTAGGGTTCGTTGAAATCCCATATCCGGGTCATCGGGAATTTCAGGAATCTCAAGTGCATCGTAAGTCCAGGTAGTTTTCAAGCCTTTTTCAGTCTCCACTGACAGGGAAATTTCATTGCCTGGCTGGGTGAAGACTTGTATAGGCGATTTGGCGATAAGATGCGGTTGTTCTGTAGAGCAAGGTTTAATTGTCAGCTAAATAAAGATTAAAATATTTCATAACATTGTCAAACTTAACCACAAGTATCAAAGTTGATGAAATGCGACTCGTATTCAGTTTAACCTCGAGTAAAGTCTATTGTATTTCTGGAATTCGAGGGTCCAGCATGCTACATATTTTTAATTATTTGTTTAGCCCACGGTATAACCAAAATGATAATAATATATAGAAAAAGAAATGCACTTGCCTTTCACTTTGAATTGGCCCGTTGCGTTGGCAGTCCCTGAATAAGAAGAGCCCTGTACTCTGATCCAAGTGTCTCTTTTAATCTCCTTGATGGTTATTTTCTTTAAGTCAGCCGACAGTTCAAACACTGGGTCCTCGAGAGATATTTTTTTTGTAATTCTCTTCTCTGAAGCCCCATATTTCCATGTAATACTTTCTTCCAAGAGTTTGAAACCTCCAGACACTTGAACTTTCAAACTGCCTCGTTCCCCTTTGCAAAGTGGTAAAACACTGGGAATCACCGACAACTTCATTGGATCCCGCACGTCAAGTTTGAAATTCGCTTTGAAAGTGCTCTGCTGAATTTTCGGATTTCCTTCTTCGAAGGTGTACTGTACTTGGTATTTTCCACTGTAATCCTTTTTCACGTTTTTTATTTCTATTGTGCTTAATTTGTTTGGTGGAACGTTTGCGGTTAAAGTGAACGATTGAGCAAACCTAACCAATCGTGATACATCAGAGGTGATGCTAAGGCCACTGGCCTTGTGAATGCCAAATGCTCCAAATTTGATTATCTCGCTCTTTCGCCCGTTCACCAAGATTATCTCCACCGCTTCCACGTTGGACTCTTTGAGGTATGGTCGCCCAAACGAATTGAAAAACAAGAACCAAACCTGTCTTACAGTGCACTGTGGAATCCTGCACTCAACTAACTCCAGCCTGCTGTCGTCGTCGTCCTTTATAAGAGCCTCGTGAGACTTTTCACTAGCAACTAAGCAATGCGGTGTCTTTTTGTCCTTTCTTGGACGGCATAGATTTGATTCCCATCCTTTACCAGACATGCACAATCGTGGCAAACCTTTCTCGTCCTCCTTGAGAGTCGCAATCACTCGACCCTTATATTTTGGGAACATCTGCCTCCAGTTGATATCGTCATGATATTCATCATAGAGATCGAAGTATCCGTCCCCGTTTCCATACATGCACTCCGAGCATTCTTGTACAACACAGAACTGTTTCCGTAAACTAGATTTAGTTGAGGTTGTGATGCACCATGGGCTGTGATCTCCGGTTGGATTCCTGCAGTATCTGTGTTCCTTATCATAGTCTACATTGTAATCACTGCTGTCGGAGTTAGGACGATCCTGAAACCAATACTGACATTTACTGGGTGGGTTACTCTTTGTCTGATAAGCATCTCCTTTATAGTCTTCTCCTTTACCGTAATAACAGTCTGTGTTATACCACCATTTGTAATCATCGCAAGTTCTGTAAAAGTACCTCTTTACGTTGAAAATACATATCCTAGGATCGGTCGGATATCCCAGAGGCGAGTGAAGCCGAGTTACGACCCAGATAATCTGAAATCTCGGTCGCTTGTTCACCATTACCTCGCAAGAGACAACTAACATCTCAGTTGCCATTGGAAAACCACCTTTACCGATTCTTATGATACTTTGATGCTCCTTGATTTGATCATTTAAGACAAGGCTTGTGGATTCAGAGAATGGTCCCGCGCTGGCTTTATTGATGAGATCCCATCGATACTCAGAGAAGCCAGGAATGAAACAATCCAACGTGCCGTTGTCTGCGGTTCCAATGAATTCAACGTGCCTAACAGCTACCGGAACGTTTGACCACTTTGAATTGACGACTTCTACTTCTCTATCTGGCAAAAGAGAATGAACTGTGATAGCTGAGAAGTGGAGTAACAAAAGAATGAATCGGAGCTTCACTGTGCTTTGTTTTCCGTTTGCCATAAGGTTCACGTCCCAAAGGCAATTATAACAGACCATAAAGGTAGAACAAACACACAAAACTCTTCAGATTATGCCGATCATCAACTGGCGTCCCATAAGAACAGACCATAGCTTAGTGAAAATATCCACTCCTGATTTATTGAG